AATCCAAAAAATGAATCGCACCCTATATATATATATATATATACACATATATTATGTGATCTTCCACATGGCCGGACTGACCATGTGCCGTCCTGCTTGCTGGACCAGGCGCTTCAAAGGTGTCAGATGCAGCGATGGCGCCCGAGGCCTGTACTTCTCGGCTGGCTTCGGAGCCGATCTCAGTGGGGGGTGGGGTTCAATGCAGTGACATCAACTGCTTGTTCTGAGCTGTTGGGGTGTTGATTGTTTTCAACGCATATATATATATATGTATATACACATGTATGCATATATATATATATATAGAGCTGAACTACCTGTACATCTCCAGTGTTTTGCGTTGTTTTTTCTTGGGGGGGCTACTATAATATTTCCATACACCCATACGCACACTCTCCTGTGCGAAGCAGATGGGATGCGGGATTGTATTGTCATTTGTCATGTGTCATTTGATCTTTGTTTCCTTTGTTTTTCCTTGCTTCCTTCCTTTCCTTTCCTTTCCTTTCCTTTCCTTTTCCTTTCCTTTCCTTTCTTTCTTTCCTTTCTTTCTTTCCTTTCTTTCTTTCTTTCTTTCTTTCTTTCTTTCTTTTCTTCTTTCTTTCTTTCTTTGCTCTCTTGGAGGAACTCTTCAAGTAAATGCTTGCTGAACATCGCACAGGTATAAGTTGTTTGTGGCTTCCAGTCTCCCATGCCAACTGTTGCAGGATTGATCCAGAATGTAGTGCCGGTCTTCCGCATTCCCTCCATACATGTCCAACCACAGACGCGTGGGCTCGGGCCAAGCACGATCCATGGTAGGGTTTCTCGTTTGGCTCGCGGCCGCCGTACGTTTCGCCGCCGCCGCGGCCGCGCCGCCGTTCCTCCCGGCGCCCTTCGACGTGACGACTTCGGGGCAGGGCTGCCAGAAGTGCGGCCGGGAGAACTGTACGCAGACCTGCCAGGGGAAGCAGTGCTTCAATCTTGGGGCGGGGGTTGGCTGAAAGACCATGTCCACGTGGCGGGGTATTTTTTTTTCAACCGGGGAGTTGGAGGAAAGCTACCCATGTGGAGAGTTCCTCTACTTTGAGACAGACCCACATGCGCGGATGTATAGAAAGGAAAGGTGTGAATGCGTGGTCCGAATATCTTCAACACACGCAAGGGACCCATTGTAGCTTTGAGGCGGGGCAACGAAATTATCATACGAGCAAGGATGTTTTTTGTGTATGCACCGACAGCCCATGTCAGAAATCTGGGGGCTGCTGCGCTGAACCGCCAGCGCCGCATTTGAAGTGCGTCGTGGCTGCGGCGGGGCCTTGGGGCCAAGGACGAGAACGCCATGGGTTCGTGTCGCCCTCCCCAAACCTGGCTAGCCAAAGTTCCTGCTTTTTAGTTTTCCCACCTTGCACCTAGATTGTTACTCATTGCTTGAGTCTCACCCTGTGAGCACGAACTGGCGCCAGTCGGCACGTGCGTCGGTGCTGCCTTTCACACGTGGCAATTTCCGTGAGTCGCCCCAGCTGCTGGCAGCCCTTGCTGACATGAATCCATGATGTAAACAAGCGATGCCAATTTTGCGCACTTGGCCTTGCTTCTAAGAAGCGAATCAATGATTGCAATCTGCAAATTCCAAAGTTGCAACGTTTCGGCCGAATTTGAGCTTCACTCCGCGTTTCTTGGGCAAAGAAGAGCGCAGGATGTAAACTGGGCTGCTGCCACGCCGTCTACGTGGAGACCACATTGGTGATGCCGGTGGTTTGCGGCAAGGGCTGCTGCAAGCCGGGGAGCCACGGCAGCCCTCACAAGTGCGGCAGGCGGCCGCCAAAGCCGATATTAATCGAGCGGAAGGCCTTGTTTAGCCCTGCCATATGTGTTCCATCCGCAAAACGTAGTGAGCAGTTTACCCGCGCCCTGAGTCCTGTGCTGTATTGTGTGGGCACACTCATCGCAACAGCTACCACAGACTGGGATGCGTCCTTGTCCCGCAAGCAGAGTCTCACAAAGGCGCGTGTGCGGACGACTGTGGCAGGACCGCTCCCAGCAAGCACGGAGAGAAGGTGATGCCCTGCTGCGTGCCCGATGAGAAATCAGAGGAGGACCAGTGGAAGTTTGGCTGCTGCCGGGTGGGGCCGGGCCACAGGTGTGACACGGAAGATCAAGGATATCAAGGCGGGGAGGTCCAAAAGCCATTTTGATGGCATTATTCATTGCTGTGCAGGTGTCTCGTTTTAGCTTTGCCGGTCCCATTGGTGCCCACTCAAGATATTTGCTGGTTTCGAGCTGCTCGGCACAGCCTTCGAGCGTTCTACACACCTGCCTGTGCCCAGCAAGCTAGAACCATACCTGACCGTTGCGCCCATGTGGAGACTTAATCTGCTCAACTCAGCAGTAAGATTTCAAACTAAAGAGACTGAAGCGCTGCTGAGACACGCAGACATCAAGAAATGGTGCTTCATTCCTTCGCTGGCGATTGCTAAGTCAGACAGCTTTGACGAGCCTGATTTGAGGCTAGCTGCTGTTTTCCTTGACAGAGGTGTGGACCAGGATGAAAGTGCCCAGCACAAGCCACCGTTTTCCAATCCACCCCAGAGCATCGCTGAGCAATTTTTTTCAGAAAAGCACGACGTGCGTGTGATTCTGTAAGAAGGAAATCCACCTAGCTGTGGGTCAAACCCCTGTACCCCTGGTGAACCTCAAAATAGGTGGCAAAAGGATGTTCATCCACATGGCTCTTTAAAAGATGCATTTTGCCCATTTGAAACATGGCTTTTTCCACCAACATAAAGTTGGAAACCACCATTTACAAGGCAATGTTCAGGTGTATAATGTAAGGATCCCTGATCCACCCCACAATGGAGCCATAGGTTATGTTTCATGGCCACCTTTTTCCCCCAAAATCTTCGGAGGCCGCCTGAGGCGCGGGAGGGGATTCGAAGATATGGCCGTGGTGGTCAAAACCGTTTTGGGATCCCATTTTGGTTGGTAGGTGAATGCACCACCCATTTTAGAACCTACTGTGGATGGACGAAATCCTGCACCACCTAAGACAGCCTGGAATGATCATTCCCCTGTAAATAACAACAAACCATGGCTTCCCATGGTTTCAAAGTGGTGCAGGATTTCGTCCATCCACAGTATTTTAGTGGTTGGATTGGGATGTTCGACCCATGGCCATCTCCGCCCGGCACCGCTGGCAGGTTGCTGCCTCTCCCAGGCGGCGGCGGCGGGCTTCAGCCCCTCGCCCTTCGAAGTCTGCCAGCGGAACTGCAGCGGCTACCGGCGGTGTGGCCAGCCCTTGGGCTATGACTGCCGAGGCCTCGGACCCACATGGGTATGGGTCAAAATTAAACCACCAGGGGACCACGGAGTCTAGCATTTTTTCCATTTAGCGGGGTTCCATGTTGGGTACCGATTTTTGACCCACACCCACATGAAACCAACCCGAAGCAAAGCTATGCACACCCTGAACCAAGTCTGACGAAACACTAAACATCCCCAAACCGACCCTAAGCCATCCCACCCAAAACGTAAACGAGCCCGAAAGCAATACTAGGACAGAAGGGTATGGGGCACGTTAGAAGCAGTTGTGGCAGCTGTGGTAGGGACGACCATGTGGTGATTCTGGGACCCTCAGTGCCTTAGAAGCTCTGGCAAAAAGCATTCTGCAAGGGTCCTCCCCAAAGGCTCCAGTCTGTTGATATTGAGTGTCATCGCAAGCAAGCGCCATCGCAAGCAAGCGCCTGTCTTTTCATCACACTAGCGATCATGTTGTTGCATCGGTGATATTTTTTAGCACCACACCACTCATATGTTATGGCAGCACGCGACTTAATTACACGTCCTTCATCGCAAGTGCGACTTTCAGCAAGAAGATGCCCAAGCTAAAAGCTTCATTTCACATGGAGCGCGCTTTGCTTGATCTGGCCGTGGAGTCTCTAGGAGCTGTCCAGTCTTCCTGCGCTTCTTTCGAGTGGCCCTGAGCATGGATCTTCTTCCCGTGCCCTTTCTGAGCTGCGCCCATCCCGGCCCTGGTTGGCGTGTTGCGGCATCGTATGTGTGGGAATTGTGGGCCCAACATGTTTGTGTTTGTAGCACTGTTAGCTCGATATAAGCTACAGTCGAGACTTGGTTTCTTGTCTTGAGTGGGGAACATCAAGGGTGACTTGAACTCATTTTGACAATTAATTATGGTTTCATTTTGCAATGGTGATGGCGACCTTGGATGTGATTGTGTTGCATGTCGTGAATTGTAGGCAATAAAATGCACATCGCCGTCGTTCGCTTGCTCCGTTCTTGATTCACGCGTGCGAGCTTGTCTCAACACAACGCTACACGTATGTCATGCACCTGTCCTTGCAAGCTTTTGCCGTTCGGTGGTCTTCTGTCCAATCATGGACCTTAAGATCACATCTCTCAGACATCTCAAAAACGGATCAAAGAGCTTCTCTGCAATTTGCATCATTTGGTTATAGGACTAGTCCTGCCACCAGCAGAAGCCACAAGTCTCTTGATGATTCTGCTAGCAGAAGTGCTTGGTTTTGTATGGCATTGCTTCTGACCGAAGCTCCCACAAATCTCGGGAGGCCGGGCTGGACACCCGCAAAGCCGTGGGAAGCAGCGGTGTTGTCCACGGCATGGGGCTGAGCCGTCGGTGCATGACCCTTGCCAGATGAGAAGGGAAGAGTGCGACTTGGCAAATGTTATATACCTTTTTGTTGAGAAAAATAGGGATTTGAGTCCACATGCTGAATGGACGCTAAAGGCAGCGCTGTGTGGGTGTGTTATTTAAGTTTCGTGTGGCTTTGTGTAGTTTGTTTGCGTTGTTTGCTTTGGTTGCCTTTTTGTGTGTTGTTGTCTTTTGGTTTTCGTGCTTGTTGACTTCCTTCCTTTTTTCTTCCTTCCTTTCTTCCTTCCTTTCTTCCTTCCTTTCTTCCTTCCTTTCTTCCTTCCTTTCTTCCTTCCTTTCTTCCTTCCTTTCTTCCTTCCTTCCTTTCTTCCTTCCTTTCTTCCTTCCTTCATTCCTTCCTTCCTTCATTCCTTCCTTCCTTCTTTGCTCCTGCGTTCCTTCGTTCCTTCGTTCGTTCGTACCAACATTTGTTTGTGCCTGCACTCGTTCGCGATTCGTGTTTGGTGGTTTCAATGTTTGTGGTTGTCTGTCAGTTTAAAGTTCTTGTGACAAAAGGTTCAACAGTTTGTTTACGCGTTTTGCTTATCGCTGCTTGTGCACGTTTGGTGTTTAATTATTTGGTGTGCCTTGACGGCTATGCTGGTTGTTTAGGTTGTTTGGCTGGTGCTGGTGTGGGTGAATGCTCTATGAATATTATTTTAAGAGTTGCGGAACGTCAGCTCAAGTCAGGCGAAGACGGTGGAAGATTTAGGGAATGCCCTGAACAAAAGACTGGTGTCGACTGTCGCGGGAAGGTTGAGCAGGTCTGCTGCTTGCAGGATGCAGACTGCTATGGGAGCTGTGAAGAATACTATGCGCATTTAAAGACGACCTGGGCGATAGGAATCGCAGTCTCAGTCGGGGTGCTTGCCTGCCTGGCCAGCATTTGCTACCGGCTCCGGGGCTTCCTCCGGCGGAAGTGGCGAGCTTTGCCATGCTTTCGAGGGCCAGAGCAGCAGTTCTTTCTGCCTGGGGGACAGGTCATGCCGGCTTTTGAGCTTCGGCGGCGCTCCAGATACGTGGCCCTGGTGATCGGCTGCTCCAAGTACGCCCCAGCTTCCAATTACCGGTGCCTTCCGAACGCCAACCAGGATGCGGAGGCCATGGCGAAGCTGCTCAGCAGGCTGGGCTACGAGGTCCTCCAGCCGAAGCTGGACGCCACCCATGCTGACATGGAGGCCGGCTTTAAAGAGCTGGCGTGGCTCTTGCAGGGGAGCGAGGCCCTTGGGGTGGTGTTCTATGCCGGCCACGCCGAGGAGAGCGGGGGGAAGATGGTGTGGGTCACCACAGATGCCCTCCGTTTCCCGGTGACAGAGTTCTGTGCGCGCCTGCAGGCCGTCCACACGGAGGATGGGATGCAGTTCTTCGGGTTGGAGCAGCCGGCGAAGGAGACGGTGCTGGCCGTTTTCGGCGATTGTTGCCGCGTTCCCCCGAAGCCAGAGGATGTGGAGCATGTGCACATGGACTTTGCGGCCGTTGCAAGGAACCGGCGGCAGAAAACGGAGATCTACTTTGTTTATGCCTCTGACCCCGGGCGCGAGGCTTTCGAAACCGGGCACAGCCTGTTCCTGGCCGCTTTGCTCCAACATCTGCCCCAAACTGCAGCTTGTCGGCAGCCTGTGAACGAATCCGGAAGTTCTCCCCTCCCGACTAACCAGCAAAATATTTAGCTTTTATTAGGGCTCGAAGACCAAGCCTGAGCAATGTTGGCCCAGGTATCGCTGGACAATCTCTACACTCGGGTGGCTGACTACGTGCAGAAGGAGGGCAAAGCTTGGCAGCGGTGCTGGAAGAAAAGCTCAGGATCCTCAGGTGCGCGACCAACAAGTTTGGGGCCGTTTGTTGCACATGGTTCTACTTGGTTCGAAAGAAGTTGGAAAAGCAGTTCCAGACAGAAGCATGAACACTAGCGCTACCCCCCACCCGAAACACCCAGCAAGACTGGGTGATGATCAGGTGGGCACGTGTGCCTGGCTGGGCCAAATATCATCAATGCTTTGGTGGGCGCTGACCCGCAGACTTCCTCAAGTCGCAGGGTGAGCACCGCTTCGACTTGGTCCGGTGAAAGTTACATCTCCACCATTTCTTAGACCCCGGGATGGCAAACAAGGGACAGCTCTCTGTCAAGTGGACATGAGGCTAGCTCCCGCATTCAGAAACAAACAGGTAGTTTACGCTTTGTTTGTCGGATGCAAGCTACATCCGGGGGCCGATTCTCGATCAGCAGAAGTCTGGTTGCTAGCCGCTCCAACTAGTGAGCACAGTATCTTCCGCAGTCTTTCAAAACTGATTCGAACAGATGGGTGCACGAAAGGCAGAGCCGCTGATTTGAGCAGCTCCCAGTTCCCTCTCTTCATTGACAGGGCGGTGACACCTTCAGAGGACCTATCCATGTCATCACCAGGACCACTGATGATGCTTTGCTTCCTGTTGCAATCTACATTTTTTGTGGCTGGTTGCGATGCCTTCGGCCCAGGCGCCTACATGACGGCTAGGTTCCAGATGAACCGCAGGAAGAGCCCCATCCGGAACAAGGTGGAGTACTTCAGGCTGGTGGGGGCTGGCGGGAGAACCTGTTGAGTGAAATGCCAGCCTCAGAAGTGTACAAGGCAACGCCTCGAATAGAGGGCACTCATGCCCCAGTTCAGACATCCACCCTCATGATTCCGTTTTTTGGGTGCTCCCCACGAATGGAGTGCAGACACTTTCAGGGTGTATTCCAGATTCCTCTCGCCTTCTCGACAAAACCCCTCAATGTGCCCCACTGGGCGAACCGCGGCGCGAATCGATTCGCAGGCAGGCTGCCGGCATCCTGCTGGAGTCCGTGCCCCCCCAGCTGAACGTGGGCCTTGACAAGGCCCGGGGCCTGGCGGTGCTGCGCAATGCCCCAAGAAAAAAAGGTGCTCCGTGGCTTTGAAGCACGCGTCTCATGGCTTCGAGATGTCTGTTTGCAACAGTTGGGACTCGATAGCGTGGCCACAGTATCTTTCAACCACCAATGTAGGACGTCCCTCTTTGAGAGGTACTCGAATCCCACCAATCAGAGGTTCTCCCGTTGGTCAATTCACAATGAGACAAGTTGTCCAGATCAAGGTGATCAGTAGAGGCAAAACTGGATTTTGCTTTGGGGAAGGAGGTGGCCGTGCTGTTTGACCGCATTTGAGTGGAGAGCAACGTGGCGCGATTCCCATCAGGTCCAGATCTTCTGCGGGAACGAGCGGTACTTCCCCCCACGCAGCGAGGACGGCAGCGGCGGCGAGCGGTACCGCGAAGTCGGTTTCCTGAACATCAACTGGCAAGCAGGCGGGATGGCGCATGGGGCGGGTGTGCTGGTTCATACTGCTGGGTGTTGCTTTGGTTCAAGTCTACCGTAGCTTCGTCCTGATTGGCTTGTGGTGGGGTTGATTGGTCAAACTGGATTGAAAATTTGGCTTTGGTCGGTTGGCTGCGTAGTCGTGATTATGCTCGTATTTGCAGACAGGGATACAGCTGGGAGGCATTTGTAGGTTGTGTTCCCATTGATCATTGCAGAACTCCTGGCAAGTGTTTCGCTCAAAAATGAGAGCTTGACATTGTGATGCTACCTTTCCCTTCTGAGCTTGGGGGTTGAAAATGAGTCCGACTTCCTGGTCTTTTTTCCTTTTTTTGCAAACGGGAGCCAAGCCTCCGTGTGCCGTCCGGGGGTAAGGCTGGCAGGAAGGTGTCAGGCCATCTCCCGGAGAAGTTGGATCCCGTGTTTCGCGGAGTCTCTGAGACAGGTTGCCTGGGGAGCAAGCATACTTTCCAGAGGTCCTAATGCGCTAGACACCTGCGAACACGCTTTGCCTGGGGCTTAAGAGCAACAAGCTTGCGGCTCAGTTTTTGGCACACATGTGTTTGTCCATACGAGCTACCAGTTGCGGTTCAGAGTGCTAGTGGATAAAGGAGTGGTGATTTGGGGCGCAAAGGGTTTCATACACATGCTGGTCACGAGAGAGAAGACCATGTACTTTCAAACTTCAAAGATGCTTGTCGCAACGCCCGTTGTTGGTGAGTTTTCTGAAATAGTTTGGCGGCACCCCTGATTTTTGACAAACAACACAACAGCAAACACTTGGCGACTGGTGTGAATGAGGGGTCCGGCAATGACCGGCCTTGTTCAGTGCCCATTTCGATCGCCTTGCCTGCGCGCGCGCGTCACGTGGCCAGGCATGTTCCATGGCGCTGAGCGGGCTCCGCTGATGGGACGCATGTGCTCGTCACGAGAACCGGCGAGGTTCAATGATGGCATGATGGACATGCACCTCTGAAGCACAGATGATCGCACCACTCGTACATATGAAGGGAGATGGAAGTGACGCCTTCGGCTGCTTGCAAGAGCCCATTCCGTTTGTCGTGGTTTGGCATAGGAAGGATTGGGTTAGTCCGAGATTTGGCTTCAGTTGGTTTGGAGGTAGTTTAGGGTTTGAGAGCTTGCTCAAGGATTCCTTTGTTTTGCCCCCCCTCACCACCCCCCCAACTGAAAGTAGACAAGTGAACGAGGCTGCGACGAGGCTACTTCTAAGAGTGCCGGGTTTACATAGCATTGCCTTTCTCAACCACCTAAATTCCTGCGTTTTCACAGCACAAAAAGAAACGAAGAGTCTAGTTGCGCCCCCTTTGAGCATGAAACCGCCCGTCCACAGTGACGACCGCTGCAGGGGTCCCCAGAAGAAGGCTGGCCTTACAGACAAGATACTCGATTCTCCGGCCGAAGCCCGATGCAGATCATCTTAACAGCCATGCCTGGAAACAAGGAACGGGAGAAGTTGTGATCACCACCAATTGCTCATGCCTTTTACCTGTCATTTCAATCCAAGCCCGGCTCTCAGGTACCGCGGCAAGTTCAAAAGTGTGCTGGCCCCGGCATGCGGGCAAGGTTGTGCGAATATGTGTACCCCACATTTACGCCATGTTTCATTTCTGTCAAGAAGGCTTTTGGGGGTTGATCCATATTATTGGCCCCCAAATGACCATGGATAACTTCTCCCATGTAGTGGGACATGTCATCTTTTTTGTGGTTTTCCCCAATGATGATCCCACGTAAAGGACCTTTTGATCACCCCCCCATATCATACATCGCAATGGCCAGAACATGGAGGATTTGAACCAGGCTTATTTATGCAGTCATGTGCGTCGTGCGAGGGTTTGCTTTCCGTGAGTCTTAAGCCATGGCGTCGTGGTGGCCGCATTCTCTGCACGTGGAATCGCTTTCAAGCATGGATGGGTTGATTCAGGTCTTGAAGAACCCTGGCCTGGTGTACCAGACGGACAAGCGGGAGGCGCGCTTTGGACCGCTGGGGTTAGGCAAACAACCAAGGAACCGCCCAAGGTACAGCACGAACACGGGCAAGGCGTGACAACTCAGCAAATCGACCTGGAGGCAAGTGCCAGAATTCCCCTTGTTTGTTTGACTGGCCGCCTCAGCTCTTCCTGTAGCCTTTGCACAACTCCACCCTAAGGACGAAATGCTGGGAATACTGGAGGTTTTGTGAGAGCTGAAGCCACTTGTACCCACCAAAGCCGTGTGATTTCAATCCCCCCACCCCTCCAGCAGTTCAAACCACACAAGCAAGGGATTGTCCATGTCGTGGCAGGAAGCCTTGCCAAGTTTGCGAAAACCATATCTTTCCGACTCTTGGGAAGTCTGAGATGCATTTGCAGTATTGTTTCTGGTGTTTTGGTGGTACATATTGCCATCAACTGTAGCAGAATCTTCATTCGAGCAAGCTCGCATGACCTTGAGTGTTGCCTCCTGGCCTGATGGCAAGAGAGATGCAGCGGTACGGCCCTTGTTCTTGGCACTTATGTGTCTGTTTGTTTGTGTGTCAGCGTGTGCAGTTTTTGCTTTTGCCCCGAACTGATCCACTTTATTCGTTCATGTTTCCGTCCTAGATGCACCGCGAGCGCCCTGCCCCGCCCTGAGGAGGGTCTGACATTAACCTACTCCGGCGAGAAGGGGACGGGCGTCTTTTTTCAGTGGGATGGAGAGCGGCTTTGGCTGAAGGGGTCGGAAGGTTCGATCTCAGGGCAAGGATTCCAAGGAGACGTTTGCTGGAAGCCACCTCTTGAAGGCGCTCAGCTGCTTGAAATGACTGGCATCGTAGAATGGTGATGGCTAGAGACTCAGCCATCCTCCGGGTGAACCGCCGTTCCCTGCAAGATGTGACCTCTGCAAGTTTCTATGGTCAGTTTCCTACCTTGCGGAGCTGGAGCGATGCTCCAACTGAAAGAGCCCACGAGGGCACACATGGAGCCATTTGGGTGTGGCTCAAAATTAGGCCACCAGGGGGACCGCAGATTTAGTCCTTGGCTCCATTTACCAGGGTTCCATTGTGGGTTTTGGGTACCTATTTTTGACCCACAGGCATTTCTAGTTATTGCACGGGAGTGTGGTTCTTCGTTCTCTCCCTCTCTCTCTCTCTCTGATTTTCAGACGAGCTGGTCATGCTTATGCTTGGCCATGTTGCAACAAGCAGGGCTCATTTTCTTGGAAGCAGAAGCATGCCCCGTGGGCCGTGCGAGGTCTAGATTTGCGTTCAGCCCAACGGGCGAGGAGCCGGGTCTGGGATCTGTACCTTGATGGCACCGGGTACCTTGGTGGTAGGTGGACATGTAGCGGCATCTTGGTGGTGGGTGATAGCTTGCAAGCAAACCATGGATGTGGCTTGTTGCCTTTGGCGAATCCCTGCCTGTACCTTGGATGTAATTGGGTGGTATCTTGGTTTAAGTTTAGACGGTCCATTGGCTGATTGATGGCTTGACTGACAGGGCTCTTCCTGCGTATGAACAAATGATGAGCGATGCTGTTGCCGGTACCGCTCATCCAAGATTGAACAATGAAGAGTTATCCAGAGAGATGCTTTTGAATACACTTCATTTAGGGTAATGTTAACCGCCAAGCTAATATTTGGGTCGGTAGACGTGCTGAAGCAGACGGGCAGGGTTCTTTGACAACTCAAACAAATTTCCGATTTTTGCAGAGCATGTCTTACGCATGCTGAAGTCGTGCCCATGGTGATGCTTTTTGTGGGCTACCTCGTGCGGAAAATGCCACCCAATAGCAATGCAGGAAAGAGTGCAGATTTCCTCTTGCAAGGATGCCAAACTAGTCCCAACCGAGAGGCCAAAAGGACCAGCCTTAATGGCACTCGTAGCCTAAACATGGTTGCAGATGCTCGAGTCTTTTCAACGATGCCATTCGTGTCGCCTGCGTCGGTTGGCTTCCAATACCCGCGGGAGATTATGAAGCATAGGGAGGGAGTTGCGATTCTCAGCATATTAGGCTTTGAGCACGGAGAGGGCATTCAGATGCCGTGCCATGCTTTCACAGGGTGATGGACCCAAATCGGATCCCAACTTGCGTCTTGACCTGTGTGTTGACCAGAGCCATGAACCGTCTCGGTCGTTCCTCAGTCTGAGCGCGAGGAGTTCCAAATCCACGTACGGCAGATGATGAACATCCCGGTGCCGCACCCAGCTGTAGCACTCGTTTTTTCGCGGCCTTGCCACGGACGCTCGGCTGCTTGAATTGGACACTTTGAGTGGCTCGGCGGGCTTGACTTTGCTGTGGAAGAAGACGGTTGGCAGTGCTTTCAGCAGCTGATTTCTGACCTATCCAGGTTTTGTCACTTGGGTCAGGTTTGCAACAATGAGCTCGAACAAGTTCCCAAGATCGCCTTGCGGTCTGATTCAAAGGCGAGACTTACATCAGAAGTGGTTGGTGCCCCTCCCTCTCGGTTCCCCACTTCCCATCTTGCTCTCGAGGTGGTGCTGGGCCCTAACTACGACCGTCAAGTTGCAGGGGATCCGGACAACGGCCAGCCGGTGAAATTCAGCTTCTCGGCGAGCAGAGCTGGTTTGGAACCCGATGACTTACCCTTGCAACAGAGTAAAGAAATGCGCAGATGCTAAGGAATAATGCCTTCTGTTCTTCTGCTTTTTCCTAAAAACACGGAACTAGACCCCCTCCGTTTAGACAGGTTCCTTTTCGCTTTTATGCTGGCTGCTGGGAGGGTATGTTTGATCTATGAGCCTCGGATGAATCAAGTTCAACAAGGCGGCGTTTGTAAACGGGACAATTAGATTCATCCCAAGACGCAGACTATTGTAAACGCTTGGCGTTGCCTGCCTCGGCCAGTCCGCTTTTGGCTGGCTTTGAGGTAGAAAACAGTGTTTTTGTTTGCCTTTGTTTTTGGGGGCATGTACTTTTATCACAACATGTTTAATCTCACGCCTATGCCCAATGCGGCATTTGGCTCAAGTTTACTGTTCCGGCGACCGCTCCCGCCATAACGTCGGCTAGCTGTACACGGCGCCGCAGCGACCACGCGGAAAACGACCGCGTGTTCGCCAGCCGGCGGTGGCAGCGTTGCTGGTTGTGGGTCAGGAGTTAAGGGTTGGGAACTTGCTTTGTTGCTGCTGCTCCGCTTTTGCTTGGTTAATTGCTTTGCTCGCTTGCCTGCTGCGCTCGCTTGGTTGGCTGCGCTGGTCCCCTTTCCTGTTTGGGTTTTGCGGTTAAACAGGATTTCCCTTTTGTTATCTGTGTAGTTCATTGCCAGCCGAGGGCACCACTTTGCCCTTGGGACTGGGGGGCTTAAACTGTCTCTTCTTGTTGGTGGGTTAGGGCCTGTTTATTCTCTCCCGAAATACTGTTTCAAACCCTTTCGCAGGTTATCAGCCGTAGGATTCGTCCTCGGTTGGCGCCGCGAACCCCATTTAATAACAACCCTGCAGGCGCCGTTTTCCATAGGCTACTGTAGGACTCATGGCGGGAATCACAGAGGATGGACCTCATGTGGTGACCGATGAGTGGGTTCTCGGCCAGGCCGGAATCTTGGACGTTGTGAATGACGACCAAGTGCCCGGACAGCCGATGTTTTCCGGTCCTGACTTTTTGTCGGACCACACTTTTTCAGAAGCAATGCCTTCAGAGAGATCCAGTGCTACTCGCACTGATGATCTATCGTCTAATGCCTCAAGAGCTAATCGCTCTCAGGGTCGTGGGACTAATCGTCCTGACCATGATGATTCCGTCTCAGGACGTGATGATGACGAGCCCGGTAGTGCACCTGGAGCTCAATCCTCATCTTTCCCCGAGCTGATGAATATTGGTCAGTCCGAGGTTCGTGACTCCCGAGGCAGCAGTAGACCTGTGCCAACCAGTAACATAGCTTTCCAAGTACTCGGTAATCCCGAGCCTGGTACATCCAGTGGAGTTGCATTTGACGTTCATCTGCCAACCGAATCCGGTGGGCTAGATTGGAGAGCCTCATGGCCCAACGACGGAAACATTTTTGGTATGGATTTCGCCACATGGATGCCAGGGCCACCCGCCCCGTCGTCTTTCCCGCAATTCCAAAGCCCGAAACGGGCTGTTGGAAGCGATGAATTCATGCTACCTTTGTCGATTGAGAATCTCAATCCTGACGTGGCCAGCCGTAACGTCAGGCCAAGGCCGTCGATAAACCCGACCATGAGGAACATGTCCCCTCCCCCAGGACTTTCAGGATTTGAGAGCCCTAGGGAGCGGAACATTGTAGACAGATTGGATTTGCATCCCAGTCCAACCCCGAGCAAGCGATCAAGGTCAAATTCGACTGGATCGCATAGGGCAAGGGGGATGGATCGGGAAACTGCCCACAGGGGAAACCCCATCAGGACGCGGTCGATCAGGTGACCCAGCGTCGATCATTGGTAGAGATCCGTTAAATGCGGACACACTCGTTAACGTGCTTGATGGGATCGAAGCATTCCAGGAGGAATTTAATAGGTCGAGTGGCTTGAACGCACAAAGTGTTCGCCCTACGCCCAACGCGGCTTCCTTTTTCGCCCTGGACGACATGGACGGAGCTAATGTTCCGATAGAGTCCGAGTCCATGATGGCATCAAGTTCTAGTCGCAATCACACCATCAGTAATGCAACTGATATTGAATCGATGTCGGAATCTAGAGTGTCCAATGCGACTGATTTGAATGACATTGTTATTGCTGACTCGAGACCTGATGTTCCTATGCGAACTGATAGGCCTGTTGTTCCTAAACTGTCCGTGGCCAAAGGCCTGGGCATGATACAACCCTCGGCGGTTCGTGATGCTAGGAGATCCGCGCCATACCAGAGCCAATCTCCTAATCGGAGTGAGTTCCCACGGCCATCAACGGCCGTGCAAGATGATTTCAGAACTCCTCCGAGATCTAATCCAGTCATGATTGATCTGTCCACTCCTCGGGACCGTGGATCAAGGCATAGTCCAATGGGTGAAGATCAGCCCAATGAGGTTGCTGATCTTGTCACGGCCCTTGAAAGAGGGAAAGTGGACTCTTCCGTAAGTGCGATTATTCATCGCCTAGTTGCTAAGGTCGAAGACCTTGGGAATAGGAATGATAGGAGTGATCAATGCATCAGGCAACTAACCACTGAGGTCAACTCGTGGAGGGCCAAGTACGACCAATGCGTCCATGTGAATAACACATGTACGCAGGCTGCAAATGCGTCAATGCAGCTGTCGCAAGGGGCTAGGGAAGTCGTAGCCGAGCTTGGCCAACGAGTCAAGATCATTTCCGATCGTACGACTAGCTTAGGCGACGCCCTGAATGAACGGGCCAGCTATGACGATGTCGCTCGATCGATCGTCCAAGTCCAAACTGTTTTTGAGTCTCTTTCTGATCGAGTTGCCGAACTTATTACTCGTGTTGAAGCAATCGAGAGATCCCTCGTGGAGAGTCAATCCAATCATCCCGCGATTGGTGGTGTGAACCTCAAAATCGAGGATCTATCCACCAGGATATGTAGCATCGACAGGATGATGCAAAGTGCCGAACAGTGTTGGATTAGCAACACGGAAGGCATTAAGTGGATCAAGGACCAACTCTGCGAAACGCAGACCAATTTAGAGGTCAAATCTAGGGACTGCAAGCCCTACACGGACAAGCAGAATACTCACAACATGGCTGTGTCGACTACGCTCAACAGCAAGCTTGAGCAAATGCTCAACGTGCTAAGTAGCACGGCCCAGAAAATTAACACTCTCGAATCAAAGTACTCGAGCCATGCATCGAGTATAGGAATCCGGTGGCTTGCTGATACTGGATGTCCTTTCGACTTGGTTGGGATGCATGACATCCCTACCCAAGATCATCGCCATATCAAGAATGGGCGAGTTCACCATTCACTACAAACCGCCAATGGCGTTGCTGGGACCCAAGGTCGGGTCGATGCAACTGTTGAATCGCTTGATGAGGACATCGAAGCCTTTGTCATGGGTAATACGCCCTCCATCATATCGATAGGACGTAGATGTGTTGATTTTGGATACAGTTTCAGGTGGGATGCCTTTGAGGTGCCTATTCTGATCTGCCCATCCGGCAGAACTGTAAAGCTCGACATTATAAACAACGTCCCATATCTGCCTAAAGGGCCGGTCATGTTTGGAGCTCCAAATCTAGACGCATGTCCTGCGATGCCAGCAATGCCCGGACCAGTACTTGCTCTAAATGATGAACTGTACCCTGCAGCTCCCTCTGAGGCCGACGCGCCTAACGAGGGGGGTGAGATTATTGAAATCAAGCACCCTGAGGGGTACAGAACTGAGGCTCAATTGCGTGCCGAAGCTAAGACGCTTCAGCACATGATGACGCATTTACCAAAGAATCCTTTTTGCACGCATTGCCAACGGGCAAAGATGGAGAACGTGCGCTTGCACCGCCGTGGCGGTGCTGATGCGCATGAATGCACGAAATTCGGTGACATTGTAACTGTAGATGCAATGGTCTTGCACGGTTTAAAAGACCGTGGTGTAAATGGCGAAACCGACGCAGTCGTGTTTTACGACCTTGCGACAAAGTACATAGATGTACTGCCCGTGTTTAGTCGATCTGTACCTAATACGGTAGAGGCTTTTCACAAATTCATGGGTCCAGAACCCAAAATTGGTCTGTTATACTCGGACCAAGCCAGAGAGTTTCTTGCGGCTACTCGCCGAATGGCATGGGTGCACCACATGTCCACACCTGGAATGCCAAAAACAAATGGCATTATCGAAAGCAAGGTGAAGCTTGTACTGCATGGAGCAAGGGTACTCCTCAGACAAGCTGGCTTATCGCCCAAGTGGTGGCCGTTTGCCGTTCGCGCATTTTGCGCTGCCAGGAATCTCGAAAATCGAGGTGAAGGAACCGCATGGGGAAGAAGAAACGATGACAGGGACTTTCCCGGTCAACTCATCCCATTCGGATGTCTTGTCGATTTCAAGCCAATCGCGCCTAAACCGCGTAGGCTCGAAAAGGGGGGGCTCAAAAACGCCTCCGAACGGGACGATCATCACAAAGCTGATGAAATTCCCACAAAAGACCACTGGATCTTCGATGAAGAATCTGGCAAACTCGTCAGAGTGCACGTAGAACCAAGAACCAAGCTGTTCAAAGCTGACAGCGCTGATGCTCCAATCGAACACATTCGTCTTACCGCTGACCGTGATACATGGATTCAGTATGATGAGGAGAATGGAGAAATGATGCACTCCGTAGACTGGAGATACGGTCCGGATTCCTAAAAGCTCCATGGACTGGCGAGACATATTTCACTGTAAAGCCAAAAGATTTTGACCCTCTCGAGGACTCTGATTATGAGCCCGAAGGAGATGACGAACTAGCTGATGATTCAGGGCCGTCCGATCACGGAGAGGACGAATTCAGCAATGTGCCTGCTATGCCGGCGCAGAAAGTTGACCCTGCTTCCAAGGCGCCCAAATTCGGGCCAGTGTCGAAACCTGGGATTTTCCTAGGCTATCGATTGGAGCCCGGAGGTCAGTGGAAAGGCAACTATTACGTTGCCGACCTCGA